TTCTTTTTCGAAAATCAGTCCATCCGGATCCGCCTTTACACCTGACCTTTCTGAAGAGACTCATGTCTCCAGAGTCGGTTTTTTTATCCCTCTCACCTAAGCGCCTTAAGAAGAGGGTTGATTGGTAGGCAACACTGTGTTACCCCTCCCCCCTCCCGAAATAATAGCACTCACCCTTTTCGTGGGTGGTTGGCGGGTGGTCTGGTGTGGTTTGCTCCTTCTTTCCTATCAAACATATATCGTCCTAATCACTTTCTTTTTTTGTGGATTTGTTTCTCTCTTGTAACACCTCTAATCTTCGGCACTTATAATATGACCTTATTGTGTTGCAAGTGCTGTAAAACTCTTACTAAACCAATCACCCTTTTCCTCGCTTGTCTTTTAGGATAGTGTTTCTGCCTGCTTTCATGAACTTTGGTATCAGTGCTGAGAGAGAGAGAGAGAGAGAGAGAGAGAGAGAGAGAGAGAGAGAGAGAGAGAGTGTACCATGCTATCTGTTTTTTGCTGTTAAAACGGTTGAAGTAAGCCATTGGTCGAGTAGTCTCCTGCTATACTGTGAAATTGATCATGTATAATTCTATTGGTTTTTTTTCTCTCCTTCTTTCTCAGATACCAAGCATACCTCATGAAACTGTTGGCAGTTAGCGAAGGGTCTCAGGCTCACTGTGCCACGATGTCAGTCTCATCCCCTCCCACCCCATCGCCTTCCCCGTCCTCCTCTGGCAAAGACCTGACCAACTTCCATCATCAGGGCGCAAGCAACATTGCTCAGCTCAGCAGCAGCAACAGCAACAACAAAAACACCTTGACGAACTGTGGTAGTAGTAGCAGTAGTAGTAGTAATCACCGCCAAAGTAACAATAATAACAGCAACGGCAGCAGCAGTAGCATTATCAAGAACGGCAGCAGCAGCAACAACAACAACAGCAGCAGAACCGACGTCACTATGAACGGAAACAGCATGACGAAGAGCAACGGCGCAGCGCGTCATCATCACCACCACCACCAACACAAACAACAACAACAACAACACAATAATTCGTCGCCCACCTCCAAACTGAACCGCTCGCTGATCATGAACCAATCGCCATCGTTGTCGTTGACGACACCAGGCGTGAGCCCAACTCCGACCGCGAATCCGGCGGAAAACGAAGAGGAAGGCGACCAGCTGGAGATCACCGAGCTGAGCCATCAGGGCCAGCTCCTGTGCGGCGTCAACAGCCTGCGCCGCCAAGGCCAGTTCTGTGACGTGACGCTGGTGGTGGAGGAGCGCGAGTACCCGCTGCACCGCGCCGTGCTGGCCGCCTCCAGCCCCTTCCTCTTCGACTTCCTCGCGTGCCTGGAGGAGACGCAGGAGCTGCAGCCCACGTACAAGCTCAAGGACGTCTCGCAGATCGGCTTCGAGTACCTGCTGGACTTTATGTACACGGGCAGGTCAGTTCGGACTTTATTTTTTATTTTTTATTTTTTATTTTTTTTGGGGAGGGGTTCTTTGTTCTGTTTTGGTTTCTTTTTTTTTGTTTCTGCTTTTGTTTTGTTTTGTTTTGTTTTGTTTTTTCTTGTTTTTGTTTACGTACTGACTATTGTCTTTGTTTTTGATTCTATTAATTGTTTGTTTTGTTTTTTGTTTACTCCAGATAAGTTCTGATCGAGTTTTGTTTTGGTTTTTGATTTTGTTTTTTGTGTTTTTGTTTCCTTTTGTTTTTTTTTGTTTTTAGTAGGAGTTTTATGGCTCTTGCAATGCAATCAGTTCATGTCACATGAATGTTGTAGATTAGAGGTGAATTGGTAGAGAGTAGTTTACAAAAAAAAGATGGATAGATAAGGACCACAGATGTTTTCGGGAAGGAGCTGCTAGCCACATCAGAGCACCCACAAACCACCCCCCACTCAGTTTTTAAAAAATAAGCCCAGTTTGCATTTTTACTTTTGAATAATATAAGTTGTTTAGACACTAATTTCCACCAAAACTGCAATAACAACATCAGATTTGTCACTAATAACTGCATAGGGCTTCTATAATACAATACAATGGCATTATTGTTAATCATATTCAATGAAGTACAATACAGGCAAATCCTGTTTTTTTTTTTTTTAATAACGTTGAACGTGAAAGAAAAAATAAAGTGTCTCTGGACTGCGTCTGCATGCATGTGTGTGTGTGTGTGTGTGTGTGTGTGTGTGTGTGTGTGTGTGTGTGTGTGTGTGTTTGAATGTGTGTGTATGTGTGTTTGTCTGTGTATGTGTGTCTGTGTGTATGTGTGTCTGTGTGTATGTGTGTGTGTGTATGTGTGTGTATTTGAATGCCTGTGTCTGTCTGTGTGTGTGTCTGTCTGTTTGTTTGTTTGTGTGTGCGCGCACGTGTGTGTGTGTGTGTGTGTGTGTGTGTGTGTGTGTGTGTGTGTGTGTGTGTGTATGTGTTTGTATGTGAGTGCCTGGCAGCTCTAAAAACGAATAAAAAGAAAAAAAATGACAAAAACAGTACATATAAAAAGAATGAATTAATGAGGCCGATAGCACAATGTTCTGAAGCTCGTCCGTTTGTTTTCCCAGCTGCTTTCGTTCGGGTGCCACCTGAGATGTCACTCGACTGGGTTTTTTTTTTCCACCGCAAGCTGTGTCTCTCCCATTTATTATTGTCCAGAGACTTGATCTCCCAGGATTTCTCGAATTCCTGGCGTTCTTCGTGCTCGTGGTTCATCGAGGGTCCTTTTTTTTTGTTTTTGGAGTTTTTTCTCGTTGTTTGTCGTAAGTCGTGTTCATGAGGTGATATTTTTGCACCACCTGTTGCCCATACATCCTGCTTTCTGCTCTGGTTCTTTTCATTTTTTGTGTAGGACATCGTCTCATAAACAGCTGCCTATCTGACCCCGAGGAAGCACTTTAATACCCAGGACACACCTTTCCCCTCCTCCAATCTAGCTCTCAGCTAAAAAAAAAAAAAAAGAAGCCCCCCCCCGTTTCACCCCCCCCCCCCACACACGCACCTTTTTGGCCCTCGAAAGGGGTCCGCTTAATTAAAAAGAAATCATTTTCATCTCATATGCGTCTAGGAGGGCGTGGTATATTATAGGTGGTTGTTGAATAATGCTCTATTGTCTCTCCTTTTCTATGAGTTTCAAATCAGACATCTATCGTCCTTAGCTCTCCTACTTCTTTACTTTCTATGTCACCTTCTAGTTAAACGTACCTCTCATCTTCGCCATTTACATGACCTGTTTGTGTTGCAAGTGTCGTAAAACCCTAACTAAAGTGTCTTGTACAAAATCTAAAAACAGAATGAAAAATTTATATTAAGAATAAAATAATTATATTGCATTTTATTATCCTCCCGTCATTTCTGCAGATCGGACCCCCCCCCCCCCCCCACACACACACACATTCTCACGATCCGCCCCATTCTCTGTCACATTCTTGAAGTGTTCATTTTTCTGGGGGGGAAAAAAATATCGCCATTTCCAGCTCTCCAGCATCGATCATATTGTCACCAGTGAAGTCAGCAGGACTGAGTTTCTCTATACCGCAATATTTATAATAGGCTTAATTATTCTGAGCGTTCTCCAGACACGTAGGCCACCTTTGTACTGCCAGTCCCACGCCCCGATTTGATTAGTGCCATGCCTATCTTTTCGATTTTTTAGAGGTTTCTTGCTGGCGCAGAGTTTTGTTGTTGTTGCTGCTTTGGTTGTTCGTATTGTTGTTATTTTATTTTTTACATACTTTAGGTAGATCATTTGTCATATGTTGGGTGTGCGTTGATGGTGGGTTCTTCATATTGTCAATTTTGACATCATCTTGGTAGAACATTGAACAATTTTGTTGACATTGGTACAAAGATGACTGAGTTGCTGACCTTTGAATGGGTCCTATCTTTTTACAACCTGTATTATGTGATTCATAATTCATGGACACACACACACACACACACACACACACACACACACACACACACACACACACACACACACATACACACACGCACACACACTGACACACACACACACACACACACCGACACACTGACACACACACACACACACACACACATACACACATACACACACACACACACAGAGTGGAACCTGCTCTAATGGCCACCTGTATAAGACAATCACTTCCCATTGTCTTCTTTATGTATTTTTTAACATTTTAGTGACGTTGTGTATGACGGTCACTTGCCTAAGATAAGCACCCTTTTTCTCCGTAACAACGGATAGCCGGATCGCTATTTGCCATTTTAGGTTATTTCGACTGTTGGCTACATACTGCATGTACATTTTCCCCTGCATTGTTTTGACAATTACCTTGTTTGTTTTGTTCCAGACTGCTTGTCCCTGTGACAGACGTCCCTGTGGTATACACCACGGCTCTGCTTCTCAAAATGGAGTCTGCCATTCGGGCTTGTGCTGGTTTTCTGGCGAAACACCTGACTGCAGCTAACTGTCTAGGTATCCGCCGAATTTCTGCTTGACTCGTTAGGGGTGTGGGTGATCGGAGGGGTGACCAGCTACATGATGTATCAGGAACCCCCACGATCCGCCCCATTTTTTGTCTCTTGTTGCTTTTGTTGCCTGTGTCTTGTTCGTTTTGTGGTCTGTGTTGCTGTTACATGTATTTGTAGTAATGTTATGATGGCACCATACGTTGTGCAAGGTCAGCTTTGCCATCAGAACTGAGTATGCAATATTTCAAGTTCTGTCATTCTCTTACGGATAAAGGATGAAATTGATAATGCTGGAGCGCTAAGAGAATAAACGTAGTGTATCTCCTACTTCATTGGCCACTTCTCAGCAGTCTTTGACTATTTGAGAACACTGTTCAGTGGCATACAAAGTATTTTTCATTTTCAAAGCGGAGTGAAGCTACATCGGTAGTATTCTCAATTGTCAAAAGATGCACATTGATGTGTATATAGTCACTGATGGCAAACGTTGAGGGCCACAATGCAGCATATTGATTGTTTTGTTATTTGGTTTGTGTTGTGAAATGTTTAAAGATGAAAAGAAATGAAAAAAAAAAGCAATAGTTGATGGGAAAGATGAAACTGAAGAACTCACCAGCTCCTCCCTTCTGAATATCCAAAACAGCAGATGAGGAGTAGAGAAGGAGAAAAGATGGAGTCTTGAAGATTGAAAGAAAGCCCCTAGGCTAGAAGGACTATATAAGGTGCGGAGTCCCTCCCACCACCCCCTTGATCCAGGTGAGACACCGATGACCACACCATTCTTGTTTCATTTGTTTTTTGTACTGGATGCCTGCACAAAATAATTTCCATTGTTCTCTTTTGTTTTCAACTGTCAGTGTTTCGCACAGTCATGTCAACGGGGCTTGCAACAGTTATAATATTTATATATATATATCAAGTTTCAGAGGTATCAAAAGCCGAGGCTACTGCAGACACATCGCTACTGTAAAATTACAAAATTCTAATCAACATTTTTGACCGTTTTAAGCTACTATGACCATGATGTCAGGAATGAAATGCTGCTCTATGAAAATTATACGATTACTCAGATTCGTTATCAAGATATTCAAAGAATTGCATGAAAAAAAATTTGAGATGTTGTGAAACTCGAAATTTTTAATGTCAAATTTCTCAAAACTAGACTAGGTGCTGAGCAGATAGGACTTTGTAATTCTATGGTAGCGACGTGTAATGTGTATGCTGAGGGAGCAAAAGAAGGAGAAAAGTAGAAGGGCAGATCTCACTCAATCACTCAACAGGTTGCCATGGTTTTTTTTCCTGCCTTTTCGGCATATTGTGCAGATTTTTATTTTGAGTTCATATAAGTTTTCGCTGTCACTGAAAATGTTTATGCTCCTACAACGCATTTTTTGCAGAGCAAAGAGAAAGTTTATAAAGCAAGTATATAAGAAAAGAAATTTTGTCTCTGTCTCTACAGTTGCATACCCAAGGTACTCATTTGTTTCTGCACACTTGTTATCTTTCTTCCCTTTTAATTTGCTGAAGAATAATTATATTATATTAGTCTGGTTTTAAATCCTTTTTTTCAGAAATGTGAATGCTTTTTTTGTCTTAATATATATATATATATCTATTTAGCATTGCCTTTTTACTTTTTTTGTGTTACTCAAAGTTAAGGGCTTAGTCATAAGCTTTTTGTGCGTTGAAAAGAGAAGCTAACACCCCTTGTGACTGAGGACAAATTTGAACCATACAGAATCAGGTATGTCAGAACTTTTGAGATGTTTCGATGTCCTTCGTTATGTGAATAAAGTTCCACAGGGACAGAATGCAGGTGTTTAAAATATACCCAGACAGTCTGATTGTTTCCTCTTCTACATCATTTCTTTGCAATTAAAACTGTCTTTTTCTCTTTTGCCTATTACAGGTTTGTATTCTAAAATCCTCATGCTTCTCGTGTCAGAAGTAGGAACTATTCAATGCCTTGGAGGGGATTTCAATAACTTGTTTTTTTTAGCTGTATTTGTGTCGAACTCTTTGTCAGATGGCCTCTTGATGTATTTACGGCAGGGTGAGGTGAAACCTTTTTTTGTATAGACATAAAATTTTGTCTTTGCTTTTTCAAGATATTGTTGTGGCAGCTTCTTTTATGGACCAGGCTGTCATTTTTTAAACTTTCCTCATTTAGAGGCAAATGTCTGTACTCTTACTTTATTCCATAATGCATCACAAGTTGTCCTGATTTACATTCTCATCCAGACCAACAGGATGTAATTCGGAATAGTGAATAGTGTACTCATCATTTTATTTATTTCAGGCTGAAGACATCTGGGCTTTATCGAAATGAATGTCTTTGTTCTAATTCTTTGCAAACTGTTGTTCATTTATTTGCTTTTTCTCAGCACTTTTTAACCCACATTGTTTATTGCATGCTGTAAATCCCCTACACAGAGACTTAATTTCTAATATGGAAACAGATTTGTTTCTATTGTCAGAGAAAGTGTGTGGTTTAGTTACTTGTGTCACAACATGGTGGAATCAGGTGCTTGTCAGTTTTTGAGCATTTGGAATTATTGAATTGATATCATCGTAAAGTTAAAGCATGTTCATATGTCTTGCTTTTGATAAAGAAATACCTATCTATCATGAAAAGAAGGTGAGATATTTGCAATTGAAGGAGGTTCGGGTTGCCTGATGACAGAGGTAAAATTAGTATGGAAATAGCTGTCAAAGTCTGGTTATTTTCAAAAACCTTGAAAACTGCAAATTTACATTCTTGGTGCATTTGATTGGCTTTTTTTGTGTGTAAAATCCATACAGCAGTATGTTTTTAATGGATATTAAAGGTGCGTTTAAGCCAGACATTTTTTTTTTAAGTTTGAAAAGTTGAAAAGTGTTAATTTCTTTGATTTCATTATTTTGACAAGTGCCGGATTTCACCATGATACCACACCAATGAAAGTGGAATGGACTGAGCTCGGAGAAATGATCATCGAACCAGTGTGCTGACATTGACAGGGCTTTATGGAAATCACTGAAAATCTTGAATTGTATGTTGTCTTATACTTATAGCTTGTTTCTCTTTTCTTCTCTCCATCCAACAGGTATTCGTCGCCTCCTGAAAGACAAAGAGATGAAAGAAGCAGTGGATGAGTATATCAGGTGTAACCTGGCAGACATTATGAGCAGCAGATCTTTCTTTGGACTCACTGATCTGCAGGTGGAGGTTGTTGGTAGGTCTTCTTTCTACTCCATGTTGAAAGTAAGATGATTCTTTTTACCGATTTCTACTTTGATAGCGAGAAAATTCTATTTTCAGGTAGAGGTTGTTGGTACAACTTCTTTTTTACTTTGTGTTTGATAGCAAGAAAACCTATCGGCAGGTTTGTACTATGTGTTAGGTAGTGAAATGATTCTATCTGTAGGTTTCTACTTTGTGTTTTATAGGGACATTATTCTATCTGCAGATTTCCACTTTGTGTTTTATAGTGAGACAATTCTATCCGCAGATTTCAAATATATGTTTTTTAGTGAGAAAATTCTACCTGCAGGTTTCTGTTTTTTGTTTGATAGGAAAACAGTTGTGACTGCGAAGCTCTCCTGTCGACTGATGGACATACTTTTATTTACTTATTAAAACACCAAAGAAAAAATGATACCATCTATAGCAAAAACAACTATGACTGCAAAAAGAAAACTTTGAAATGAAGAATACATTTTAGTAGCATGTGAGGGAAAGAAACACCACTAAGTATTTAATCTGTGCTTAAAATGACGTGGACAGAAAAATTGCAAAATAGTCAGTAGGAAAGAATGAAAATAAATATTATGATGAAGGTTTTGAATATGAACAGCTTACTTTGTGTGAGAAGAGTGATGATAAAGATGGTTATGAAAATAATGTTCTTGATGAATCTGGAAAGATTGAATATTGGATAACTTCATAAATAAATACTTGACATTTCCAAAATAGAAAAATTCCGGTCTCCGTTTTTTTTTTACTGCGTTGCAGCAATGATATGAAAGATGATGGTGAAGATAAGAGGTGATTTATTATGAGGCTGTTGATCTCTTTCTCTGTCAGGTCTGGATGAGAACATCAAGGATGAGACGATGGAGAGGCGTCTGTTCTCTCTCGTTTTGGACTGGGCCAAGAATAATCTGAACGATCTGAAGCCCAAGATGGAAAGACTCACAGAGAAGGTGAGCATTCTCTTGTCACAAATTTTTCCTGGATCAATGTGTTTGATAGTTTGCAAAGAACATCATCAGTGAAATGTTCAATTGCACTAAACTGAAAATGCTAAATATTTCAGGAGAGAAGAAAAACAACTGTTTCATTCTTTGTGCCATAATTATGTCTTTTTCCTCAATTTTTTTCAACATTTAGAATTTCATTATATATGGCAGCAAAATATTTTTTGAGCACCTGCAACCGAAGTCACAATTACAGAAACTGCTAAATAAAAAAAAGATTCAAAATTTTGGACTCAGTACATTTTTACAGCTGGGCGACGAAATGAGAATGTTATATCAGGAAGAACAGTGTTCCTGGAGTTGATTCACTGTTTTGTTAACCCTTTGATTTTTGTCCAAGCACCCAGTTTTTTCTTCAAGTTTTGCAGCTTAACTTTTTCTTCCATTCGGTGCTGGGCTCGCGCTCATTTAATATTTTAGCGTATTGCATAAGCCAGTTGCTTAAGAGAAATTGAATAAATTCAGCCTTCAGAAAAAAAATTTGCTTTCAAGTCTAATTAAGAGAAACTGTATGACATACAAATGATTTTTAATATGTATATATTGTGTTGTACTAGGTAAATGTACTGTACCTGGAGTCGGACAACACACTACGGGACTGTGCTGACGTTGAGGACACCGTCTTGAGTAGTGACGATGACATGGTGCAAGACTACAAGATAATGGCTCGGAGAAGGGTGAGGCATTGGGCTTTTCTTGTATATCTGAGGCTTAATATAGGGAGCCTTTGGAAAGAGCACTGAGATATTGCATGAAGCAGACTCAGACTTTGATGGAGATAAATGACTTTGAAAGCTTTAAGATGTTTTGTTCTAGTCTCCAGTTTCCACCTTGTTGTTTGTTTGTACATGAGAGAAAAGATGGGGGTGGTGCACACTTCCTTTTCTAGTTGATAAAGTGATTGGTCCTCAGTTGTAGCATTGTGGGTGCCATACCTGGCTTGGCTGGGTAAGGTGTTGTAACTACTGGCAAGGTATTCTACCAGCTGACATGACTCATTTGCTCACCCAGCTGCCAGTGAGTACTTGGTAGGCAATGTGTACAGACATATGAGGATGACAATGCTCGAGTGCTTTGCCAGCTGTTAAACTCTGTTTATCTCTCCCCCGTCCCTCCTCCATCTCTCCTCTGTCCCTCCTCCTCCATCTCTCCTCCATTCCTCCCCATCTCCCGCCCCCTCCACCTCACCTTGGTGGATTGTATACCCTGGGGCTCCTCGTGTTATTTCGACAAACCAGTCACAGTAACTTACCCTCGCGTAGTTCCGTTAGAATGTTCCAATTTTTAACATTTTAAACAGTATACTTTTCAACAGATGATTGACCTGAAATTTCTTATTTTATTGCTTTAACTCCTTTGAATATGACAAGGCTTATTCCCTTCTTGAGAATAGGAGAGAGAGAGAGAGAGAGAGAGAGAGAGAGAGAGAGAGAGGGAGAGAGAGAAAGGGAGAGAGAGAGAAAGAGAGAGAGAAAAAGAGAGATGATGAATAATTCTGTTTAGCACAACAGGTTATAAATGGTAATAACACCCCATCACGCATTCATTTACTATGCGAAAGCCCCATTACCATTTATTGTAGTCATTGTGTCAATGACAGCTGGGATGTGACAGCTGGTGTTGAGCAGGCAGTAGAAACTGATGTCAGATGTCAGCATTACAATTTCACAGCCAGTGAAAAGCTAAATTGTCACTTTTTGCACGTTATGGGGAAACTGCAATAGGTATTCGGATAATCCAGGCTCCCAATATTTTTCCTGATGAATGTTGTTGCAGTTGAAAGTCAACGTGAATTGATTTAAATTTAGTTACACTTGAGCAGTATTGATTTTCTTTCATAATGAGGGGAAATGAAAACTAAACATAAATGCCTTCCTTTTGAGTTGGTATTGAAAGGGGTGAAGAAATATCATAACCCTGTGAAAGTTTTTAAAGAGTTTTATAGAAGCAGTTTCTTAAAATGTTTGAATTATCATGAAAACAAAAAGGTAAAAAGTCTTTTTCTCCTGTCCTCAGAGTAAAACCAATTCCAAAGGTGGCAGTCAGCGCTGTGCCCCCAGTGGTAACGGACCTCAGCCATTTCATAAATTCAGTCTGAACCCAGAGGAAGCTCTGTCGGTGGCTGAGAGAGAGTGGTCTATCGTTGCCACTTGCAGGACGAATGGTATGTGTCTCAGCGTTTTTTTGTTAAGGAGAGAATCACTTGTTCGTCTTAGTCTCTGCCAGATTCATGGATTGTTGGCACATGCATGACCTATATTGAGTTCTTTTGATAGAACTTGTGGCATCTTGGAAGAGATTTTTCTCAATAATTGAGGAGTTTATTCTGTATGACTCCCATGAAATATATTACTCTGTCTCATGTTACATCAGTTTGAACTTTAGAGCTTTGGACCTACTCTGTTTGTCTTCTGTGAAGTAATTCCCTCTATCTCATGGCATATTTCTCAAACTGCTGAAAGATGAGCACCTGATTTCACGATGATGCCACATTATGTGAGGTAGCTTGGTGAATCAGACGCTTGTCAAAATAATGTAATCAAGAAAACCGGCATTTTTCTGGCAGTGGGACTATTTTTTTCTAATTTTCTTTTTTGGCTCAACACCATCTTTCTATGTCCATTTAGGAACACCTTTTTGTGTGTGTTTTACACAAAAGCATTGATCAAAGGGCCCTAAAAATGTAAATTTGCAGTTTCCAAGAGCATTCAAGCTTTGGAAGTCGCCAGCCTTTGACTGCCATTTTCTAGCTAATTTTACTTTGACCCAAAGTGACCCCTACCTCCTTCAATCGCGAATATCTTGACTTTTATTTAAGGTAGATTGGTATTTTAATCGCCAAATGCAACACAAAGGAACAAGCTTTATGATGATACCAATAACTCCATATGCCCAAAAAATAACAAATGCTTGATTCCACCATGTCGTGACACATATGGTACTTACTGTATTCAAGATTTTGAGCTTTTGACTCAGCACTGCCTTGATGATGATGATGATCTTAGCCCAATCTATTAGACAAAGAGGTCTGTCATTAGTTAAGGTAATGAAAGGTTTTCACTTTTCTTCCTCCTTTCATATTTGACTTTTTTTTTTTTTTTTCCTTTTTTATGATAAACTGGTATTGGATACTGGCCATTGTTTACAAAAACTTAACAAGGAAATAAAAAAAATAATGATCTTACCCTTTTTTCATAAGCATAAGGATAGTAAGCAGCCTTGATTACTATGTACATAACAGCCCCTCCATTTAAAGTCAAACCTGGTGTGTTTCAGAAAATGCCTACCTGGCCATCGCCCTCCTGGATGGACATCTCATGGCTATCTCGGTCCACGTACGTCCACCAGTACCCGCCCACAATGACTCGAACGGTTCTGGTTCTGGCTCAGGGCCCAACTCCCCGCCTCTGTCTTGCAACGGCATCAGTTCGGCTAACGGACTGCTGTCCAGCCCTGTAATCCGCAAGGCATCCATCAACCCGCTGGAGGGAATGAGCATGGCCCGTTGTGCCATGGGAGCTGTGGCTCTGGGAGATCAGCTCATCGTGTGTGGTGAGAGATTTTGATGTCTTCTCTGTGAGAAAAGAAAGTTGTTGAGTTTTGTTCTGGGTCTTGCCATGATTTAAGTTGGAGTGTAGTGTAGTGGAGTCTGCTCTAATGATCACCTGCTCTAGACAGTCATCTGTACAAATGACCACTTCCAGCTTTCCCCTTGCACTGTTTCTATATTATAATGACACTGAAATATACACCCATCTGTTTAAGACCACTACTTTTTCACTCGACAATGGGTGGATGTCTTGGACTATTTCGACTGTGTTTAGAAATGTAAATCTTTGAATACAGTGAAGATAAATGAAAACAAAGAGTCAATTTATAGTTTTAGTAAGTGTTTTCTGGCACTTTCTACTCACTAATTTTGTTCCAGCTCAACTGAGAGGAAAGCTACGTAAACTGATAAATTGATCCTAACTTCTATGAAGCCCCTTTTGGGATCTGAATTAGTGTCATCTCTATCAATGTCTAGTGTAGTTTTTTAAAATATAAGAACAGATAACAGAAAATAAAAGCTCATTTTAATTCAGTGCAGTGTGGCTACACTATGCAAAGGAAAAGAAAGACCCCCTAGTTCATTCAGCCTGGAGAGATACAAAAACATTCCTGTTGAAATTTTGTAACAAGTTACTCACAACTAGCTTGAGCAAATTTGGATGATTTTAATTAATGCAGTGGATCCAAGCATACTTTGAGCTTGCACTAATATAGTGCTTTCCTTATGTGCACTGAAAGCTCACCTCCACATGCATTTTATGTAAATTGGTTATGTGAATTAGTCAGGGGGTCGAGTGCTCAAAGGGTAATTTTTCTTATAATTGGTGTCCTCCTCACAGGTGGTTATGACAGAGGAGAGTGTCTGTCCAGCGTGGAGGCTTTCTCTGTGACGGACAACAACTGGACCTCTCTGTCGGACATGAACGTGTCACGAGGTCGCGTGAGTGCGGCTGAGTTGGACGGCTACATCTACGTGTGTGGAGGCTCGGACGGATGGAAAGAACTCTCATGTGTGGACAGGTACGACCCTGTGGCAAAGAAGTGGAAGTTTGTGGCCAGTATGCTGAAGGAGCGATCGTCCCATGGTGAGTGGACACAAATTGTTTATTTCTTTGTTCCTTTATGTCCCTTGACTTGTCATCTGTGGGTGCACTTCGAGGTTAAATAAAGGGCCAGTGATCAGTCTTTGGGCCTAGGTTGAGTTTTATTATTTAGTGCTATGTTTTTTAAAATTTGTAGCCACCCGACCCTTACACATACAAAGGGAAATATTCTGATGTTATTGTGGGCTACTAATAATCATGAAAAGCGCATTTATCTTTGTGAATTATGGAAATAGACTATACATATGCCATGTGTTATCATGTGTTGTTATCAAGTCCAAAGTCCAATTTCTTCATGGTATTAGATCAGTGGGCAAAACTAATTTTGTTTGGTTGCGCTATGTCTATCTTTTGGTTTTACCAAAACCAAAATATTCTGGCAGTCATAAAAGCACATGGTTACAAAGTGGGAAATGAGAACGAGTCTTGGTATTTCATCCGAGCCACTTTTAAGTGCACGTTGCTGACCTTTTTCAAATGGCAATATCTCACAGACTGTCAATTTTTTTCGAATTCTGTAAACAGTAGTAGTCCATGTAATGACTAAACACATTGTGTGTGAAATATTAGGGTGATTGAAGTTGATTTAGTATATTTTTTTCCCCATTTTACAAAAAAACAGCCAGTAGACCGGGTCCTTGGCCTCAGGGCTGAGTAAGTTAAAATGAAATGTGCCTGTTTGCTAGAGCAGTTACGATATTATTCTACCCCCTCAACTTTTTGTAGTCTAATGGAGTGCTTGGCATGGTAATGAATGCTATGGAAAAAGATTTTTATTTTAAAGCCTGCCAAACCCCTCTACTCTAAGAAAAAATAGGCCTATTGTTTGGATGTAAAGAGTAGTCCAACAAGAAAAAAAAAAGAGAAAAAAAGAGACAAATAAAACTAAGTGAAAAAACAAAACTGAAAAAAAGAAAGAGTGGTAACAAAATACATCTGAATGTATTGTTTGAGTTTCCAGGGTCGTTAAATCGACTCAGTGTAGTCGGATACTCCATTGGAGTGGGAAACTGGAGAGTGCAAATAATGCTTGGCCTGAATCCAGGTTGAGGCAGCTGTTGCCTGTATAATTTATCATCAGGCTGATGATAGGTAGTCAGTCATGTCCTTAACATTATGTGACCTGGAAAAGGTCAAAAGGACTTACAGATGTCTGTTCCTTTTCATGTATGGTTTAGGTTCTCTGTAAATTTCTGCGCTTAGTACTCATCCAATATTGTGTGAAAGAGTGACTATTTAATTGCTTTTTTAATGGCAAGAAATTGACCATTTTATACCTGAGACTGAGGCTACCAGGGCTTAAAGGGTAAACCTTCATTAAAACATCTGTGGTATAATGGCTAGGCTCTTTGCCATTGAAGGCAGAAGATGTGAGTTCGATTTCCATATGGGAAGTTTTTTTAATGTTTTTAATTGATTATTCCTATTTGGTTTATTGTATCCTTCTCAGCCTGGGTGGCCCTGACAGGTGTAAGTTTAAAGCATCCTGCTTCCTAAATTAACTAGAGTCTGTCTGTCTGTTTGTCTGTTCTTCTGTCTGTCTGTCTGTCTGTCTGTCTACCTGTCTGTCTGTCTGTCTGTTTGTCTGTCTGTCTGTCTGTCTGTCTGTCTGTCTGTCTGTCTGTCAGTCTGTCTGTCTTCTGTGAAAAATCACTAAAATACTAGTTTGTGTACTTTCACTTGATGAATTGCAATGCCATGATTGCATTCTCCGTGTTTTCAATCGATTGTTTCTCGTGTTGTGCAATGCCCTATCCTGAAACCACATCTTTTTCCTTATATAGGCATGACCACCCTGGACGGCAAACTGTACTGTATTGGAGGTTGTGATGGTCAGCGGAGCATTGCTCAGTGTGAGGTCTACGACCCCAGCACTAACAAGTGGTCGAGGATTGCTTCTCTAAACACAGGTGAGTTTCACTTTGATCCATTCTGTCCTATTGGCGATGGACTTGAGAACAACGTTAATGATAATGGTGTTTAGTGATTTTTAATTGATCTATTTTTGTTTTTGTTGTCAGATTGAGAACAATAATAATGATAATAATATTGATCATGTTGATAGCAAAATCAATACCTCCCTCCCCCCCCAAAAAAAAACAACAAAGAAAAATAAACAACAAACCCCCCCCCCCCCCAAACCTTCATAAAACAAAAAAAAAAACCTACAAAAAATAAAAACCTTCAAAAAACAGTAACAACAACAACAATAACAAAAACGCACACTTATTTTCTCACTCCTGTGTTAAAGGGACCAACCTTGCACACACAATTAGACAGGTTTTCGGTAGTTTACTCTTATCGTTGGGTGCTACTCAGTGGTGATTGGATATGCTTACTTTGTGTGTGGGTGCATGTGTGTGTGTGTGTGTGTGAGAGTGTGTGTGTGTGTGAGTGTGTGTGTGTGTGTGTGTGTGTGTGTATGTGTGTGTGTGTGAGTGTGTGTGTGTGTGTGTGTGTATGTGTGTGTGTGAGAGAGTGTGTGTGTGTGTGTGAGTGTGTGTGTGTGTGTGTGAGAGTGTGTGTGTGTGTGTGTGTGTGTGTGTGTGTGTGTGTGTGTGTGTGTGTGAAAAACACCTAACCAGTGTTCCAGCATCTGGACAACAAAAGTTTATCTAGCTTTATTTTATCTTAACATCGTGTGTTCCATCCGGTCAGTTACGGTCATCCACTGACGCAACAAAATTCAGAGCCTTAAGAATAAAATTAAGATCTTTTGGTGAGAGAAGTTTCTCATATTTCGACCCTAAAATCTGGAACTCCTTGCCCCAGGACCTGAGAAAAATAAGAAATCCTAATACATTTAAGGGATTGCTCAAGACTCATTTGTTTGATTCTAAAATTGTTTGTTGCAGTGTGTTAGTAAGTGCTGATAAAATTTGTTTTTACTGCTGTCTTTATGTGTATATAGCCTAATTAGTTTTAGTTTGGTTTTAGTAGAGGTTTTTACGGCGCTCGCAACTGCATAGCCTAATTAATGTGTGGTTGGGAAAGTTTTTCTTTATGCAGTTGAACTGGTTTTCTTGTTACTGTGAAATTTGTTTTATCTCGTGGGAATGAAGTATTACACTCAGTGATCATGTGATTGATTTAAAGCACTCGGAGCTTAAACTCGTATGGGAAAGAGCGCTATATGAATGCAATGTCGTGTATTATTGCTATTATTATTGTTATTATTATTATTGTTATCATTATTGTTGTCGTTATTATTGTCGTTATTATTGTTGTTGTTATTATTATTATTTTTATTATTACTATTATTATTATTATTTATTATCATCTTATCTTAACTGAAGTCCCTTTACAATTTCAGCCCGTTCCCAGACATGTGTGTGTGCCTTGAACGGCCTCCTGTTCGCCATCGGAGGCACGGACCTGTGGAACACACTGAACACTGTGGAGGTGTACAACCCTGAGCTGGATGAGTGGACCGTGCACTCTCAGCTACACATCGCCCGCAGAGGTGCTGGGGTGGACATAATCAATGGTGAGTACCATGAGGTTGAGGGATGGTTTTGGAAAAAGTAAAGTTAAACACCTCATTCTTTTGTGTATCATGGTGTTTACAGCCCACAGTTTTCTGTTCCTGTAAGACTTAACTCCATTTCCTCTGTGTTCCTGAATGATAATAATAACTGCATTTATATAGCACATATCCACGCTCTACAGCATACTCTATGTGCTTTACAACTTTTATTACCCCAGAAGATTCTAGAACACCCAGAAACATTTTGGGCTTTGAAGGAAGCATACAGTACAGGCAGCCGATTGCACACTCTCAAACATTAACAAACTGACAAGATCTTTCGCTGTCTATAGTCGGGTACCAATTTCCATCTGGGTGAAGGGAGGAAAATTCGTGTCGAAGTACTTTTCTTCAGAACACAACGTTGAACCCCTGACAGGATTTGAACTCACAAAACTCACAACCTTATGGTTCTTAGTCCAAGAGCACTAGACCACCGACTAAGTCAGGCACCTTATTGTCACCCTGGTTTCACTGTCCAGGTTTAAATGAGAAGTTGCTCATGTCAAGACTGCAAAGAACACTCCCAGATGTATGTATTGAAATAAGTAAGATGTGAAGTTTTGGATTAATGACACCAGAGAAAAATTTAGTAATGTTTTCATAGATTATAAATTTTCTTTATAGTAACCACTCTTCAACATCCCCTCTTGGAAATGATCTGCAAAAAGTATTTGTTTGCAGTAAATTGTGTTATGAATTCAGTGTAACGGGTTACTTCTCATCTTATACATTTGTGATTGGTTTGAAGTTGTTTTGGTATAGTATTGATGCAAGGATGAGTCTTCTCTACCTCAAATGTTGTTGAGTTCAAGGTTACAGAAACAGTTATGTATGTACAACGTACATCTCTTTTCAATATGAAGTGGTGAAATAAACATAAAGTGATAAAGTAACAGAATAAACGGCAAATGCTTTTAGAAATGCAGTTCTTAGAATTTTTTGCCAGGAATGCATCAATGAAGTGCCATGTTTTTTGTTTTTTTTTCTCTCTACGCGATGTGAGTTTTCATCCAACTTTAAAGCCTGAAGGTTGTCTACTACTGTTTGTTGTATGTGCCAAGTGGACACTTTAAATCTGCTTCCCTGGATACAAATTTACACAACAACGAAACACATCTGCAAACCAACATCAAAGGGAACACAAACTCTATTCTGGTGCCTTCTTTGAGATAGCAAAGGACTCTTGACAATGCTAGACCCTGGACCAGAAAGAAATGCTTTCCTTTATTTTTAATCCAAAATGTATGCGCAACTGTTGACTTACGTCAATAAACATTTGTAGAGCAAGAGAAATTTGGAGGGTGAAGTAGGAGGAAGGGTTAGGTTCTACAAAATGTCTGTACAATTGTGTTTCAAAAGTGGAGGTAAAATGACCAACAAAAATCAGAAAACGGCATTCAACTAACAAAATCTCTGAGATCATTTTACTTTTGTCACTTTGCCACCTTGCCTTGCCGATTGGCGATGTTTACCTCCCAGTTTCTTTGGTTTTTTTCCAAAATGAGGTGGCAAAGTGTTAAGAGAAAAATTTTGTTGATGTTTTGTTTTTTGTGGAACTCTGAATTAAATGAGCTGGATTTAGCTGTGGATGAGAACACTAAGAATTTTAGAATTTAGAGTTGTGCCCGTTCCTGCCTGTTTATGTAGGAATGTTTGTGTGAACTGTAATGGAGATGCTTCTATCTGCTCACCAGGTCTGATGGTGGTGGTCGGTGGTAGCGATGGAGCACAGTCGCTGGTGTCCACTGAGATCTATGACCCCAGCTCTGAGCTGTGGATGGTGGGACCGCCTCTGACCACTCAGCGTGCCAACCTGAGTGCGGTGACCATCAGTGACCGTCTGTTTGCTGTCGGTGGCTTCAGCGGCAAGAAGTTCTTGAACACCCTGGAGTGGCTGGACGTGGAAGGCATGGAGTGGTTTGGCCACGCCCCTCGCAATGACCTCGAGAACGAGGTTGAGGCGAATGGGCATGATGATGATGATTTCATTGATTCTGAGAAAACTGCCGATGCAGTGAATAGTAGTAATGAGAAAGATGTTTGTTTTGATTTCAAGGGTGTAGAGAACAGACTGAATGATGTTCTCAAGAAGAGTGACAGTAATTGTGTGAATGATGACAAAGTTGGCAAAAACTGCAAAGCAAATGGTTGTGTTAAGGAATTGAATTATGAAAGTGAAGACAAGAAGAAGTCGCTTCCTTCGTAGTAAGACGAATCAGCGAATGACCCTGAGCTGATGTTTCTTATTTTTGTACCACCATTTGTACTTTGTAAATTTTTTTGCTCTTTTCATTTTTCATGACATGCGGGAGAGGATAGGAGGAGTTGTTAAAAGATGGTTTGTGAAAGACGTTAACCGTGACAAGATGTATATAAAACAGAGGAGAACTTTTGAAGTTCAGTTTGTTCCAGTTCTCCTTTAGCATTTGCTACTGAGGAATATTTTGAAAGGATTTCTCTGGGCTGTCTCATTGTTAAAAAGTGAATTAAGCGGAGATAATCAGTACAGCAGGTAGTGGTGTTGTTTCAGAATATTATATTGACGACTATTTGTGCCATTTTATGTGTATTGTGCTGTGTCTCATCTTAATTATTTACATGGAAATGGAATGCTCAGACCATTCCAGAACCTGACCATTCAGACATTTGGGTGTCCTGTTTGTGCAGGTTTAAATAGAACTTCTCTCTTGATTTGTTAACTTCCTGTAATTTTATTATAATTTCTGTCTTCTGTCGAGAATGGGAGTGAGTTCTTGTTGTTTATCTTGTGTCTCTGGTGAGAGCTATCAGAAAGGTAAACTTGACTGCATCAGAGTAGCTCATATGTGTGAAGGACAAAGCAGCGAAAAGGAACGGCTTAGTGAATGTAAAGATACTCGACCAATTAAAGATATTGTAACTAATGAAATGTGAGGCGTGCCGACAAAATCAGTTACTTCTCATAGTCTTCAAATGGAGATATTGGCCAAAAATCGACATTAGGGTCAAATTTGTAGATTTTCTATTGATGCCATATTCTTGAATGATAACCTGTCTTTTATTATTTCGTAGGCCTACTTATGAATTATAAAAACTTTGCCTATAAGCGTGATGTATCTATTTCCTTACAGCATAAATCCAAGAAGTAACTCATTATGTCAGATCGCTTCACAAATGTGTTTCACTCAGTACGTGGTTATTCATACATTTATGAAGAGCCCAGTGATTAGCTCTCATGATATGAATTATAGGCTTTTTCAGAAGTTTATAACTTGAAAAATTCAGATCTTGCTGGAAAACTGAAAGAGAAGAGTTAACTTACTGCAAAAATCTTAATGATAATAATTACTGCACTTCCACAGTGCCTCTCAATGCTCAGTAGCATAGTCAGCAGACTCAGAAACATTCTCGGCTTCCTGGGAAGCATACAGTACTAGCAGCTGCTTAAGCGCTCAAACACTAACAAATTTATGACAGCCAAGTACCCAATATATTAGCTGTCTGTGTTGCGAAAATTGATTTGTCTGTAATGTATATTACTGCTGATATTCCCCCTGACAGTGAAATTTAGCAATGCAAAAGTCTATGATCTCAGAGATTTTGTTAGTTGAATGCCGTTTTCTGATTTATGTTGGTCATTTTACCTCCACTTTTGAAACACAATTGTACAGACATTTTGTAGAACCTAACCCTTCCTCCTACTTCACCCTCCAAATTTCTCTTGCTTTACAAATGTTTATTGACGTAAGTCAACAGTTGCGCACACCTTTTGGATTAAAAATAAAGGAAAGCATTTCTTTCTGGTCCAGGGTTTAGCATTGTCAAGAGTCCTTTGCTGTCTCAAAGAAGGCACCAGAAGAGAGTGTGTGTTCCCTTTGATGTTGGTTTGCAGATGTGTTTCGTTGTTGTGTAAATTTGTATCCAGGGAAGCAGATGTTCATTGCTGCATGTTCCTTACCTGCAGCCTATATCAAGCCAAAAGCTGATGTAACTACTCTTTGCAGACAAGAGAGCTGTCAATACTTCTGAGGAGTTTTAAAACAGTTCACTACTACTAATCATAATATTTTGTGTCTATGTAACCTGAAATAACTGCACAACTATATTTCTGAGTCAGTTTGTTTTAAATGGGATGAAAAATAAAGCGTTGTAGCTTTTCACTATAGCTTACGTTTTGGTCCATGATCATCTTTTCTTTGTAACATTGTTTTTGTTATCTTTCTTATTATTTATAAGAAGTAGTCGGATCTTGTGTTCTGAGTATGAGCCTTTTTTTGGAAAAAAGAATTCTAAAGTACTTCTTTGTTAGATATTGAGGCAAACTGAGGGAAATTTTAGCATTTTGGGTTACTTCAATCGGACTTTTGAGGTGTTTACAATTTCCTGTGAATGCTTTTTTCTAGTGCATGCTTTGCCTTTCTCCACATATCGACAACGTGCATACAGAGCTTGCTTTAACTTTATTTTACTGTCTTGTTTGCCTGTCTGACGTGAAATTGTGTGTGAATTAGTTTGCATGTTGTGCCCGACTGAGCTCTTTAATCAAGAATTGCATTTGCTGTATACTGTTGTAGTTTTATTCTTATGATGTGTTTTTCTTTTCACTGGCTAAAACAGCCCCTGGACATGGATTGCTGGTGCCTCTATAAATAAATCATTGATGGTCTGGGTTGTATTTTGAATGTGTAAAACAATTTAGATATCTGGACTTTCTTTGTGCTTTCTCTTCTTATCAGGCCCCCCCCCCCCCCCCCCCCCTCTCCATCTGTATGGTTAAAGGTGTTACTAGAGACTAGTTTTAATGTTGCCGCATAATGTTCAGTGGTTTTCTGAATGTTCAGATGTAATGGGTCTTTATTGGTATGGTCCTTCTAGCTATAAAATTGTACTCTTAACCCAGCTGTAAGCAGATCATCTTTGTACTGCTCTTGCTCTCTGTGGTCACTTCTGTTAACAATGTACGGTAGTGACACTTTTTTGGAGTGGAAGAAATTAAGTATCTGGTCCGTTCATGTCTTTATCTCTGTTTGTGTCATTTGGTTTGTCTTTGTAGAGACAGTGAGTGTAAGTTGTGTTAAATAGATGCAGAAAAAAACTTTGTGAATTTTGTCTTCCGTTTTAGTTGACAAAGTTACAGTACTTTCCAAGCTTGAGAAATTTAATTCTCTTACCTTTCTAACCCAGGCTTACTTGTCTTATGTGTTTTAGGAAAGATAAAAAGATGAAGTAACTTTCGCTTGATAGATTTAAATATTTACCCCTTGTTTAGGTCAAAGCAATTTGCAATGCAAGTTTATTAGTTATGTACTGGAATTGAGGGAGGGTTTGCTAATCATTTTCCTATTTCTTACTATTTTATTGTCATTTCTGTTTATGTTTGTGTATTATGAAGTATACGAGCAAAGTTTTCAAAATAATGTTTTGGTGGTCTTTTGAATTGTGGAAGGTACCTGGAATTATGGTAGATAGCATCATAATGATTAGACCATGATGCCAGACTGATGAGTCCTTTTTAATTGTATGTGTTGGGCTCCTCTTGGAATGAGTGTATTATATTGGGCCTACATGGTTCATCGGTTCATAAGAAATTGAAGTAAATGTATTCTTATTTATATTTGTGCTTATGATGTACTTTTATGGGTTTTTTTAATGTGGATAAAATGTTTTGCCATTTTCCCCAATCAGGCAGCTTCAGCTTTTAAAGTGTTCTACATAGTAAAAAAAAAAAAGAAGAATTTGATTTTTGATGTTTTTGTTTGGTTTAGTCATGTTCTTGAGCAAGCTGAACATTTGATAGATGTTCTTGAGAATATAGGCAGATGGAATTATTTCCTCTTACTTAAGCTTGCATTGAAGTATAAAGTTCCTCTCTCCAGCCCTGTTCTGTCTTTTAAGAATTGTTTGCTGTGAATTTTTTGCTTTAAGCTTCTTAGTGCATCTCACGCAAGCAAAAGATACAGAAGGCGGTTTAGTCATGCTCATTTTGTTTCTTCTTTATTTTGTATATTTTAGAAATATGTTTGTCCATTCGTCTCCATGTTTTGCTCGTGAATTCTCTCAACAAATGTAATTGTCATAAAGTGTCTTGTGCTAGCTTGTGACTCTTTTGAAAAATTGTCTAATCTGGAGCTCCTATTTTGGTTGTAATTGATATGACTTGTAAATGAATTAAGATTGTTTTCTTTTTCATTTAAGGTTGGAATTAATGCACTTCCATTTTATCTGCTTAGGATGTAATTTTTAGATTTTTTTTTTACTCTAGCATATCACATATGATATTTGAAGAATTCTCATTTATCCATGTTTTATGGTGTTGCACGGTTTTTAGTCTCCACTGGAGCCATGTGCACTATTGGAATATAGTACAAAGAGAATGTTATGACTTGGGCATTTGGTTCTTCCATGATGAGCAGTATTTGTTGTTGTTCTGTTTCATCTTTCTTCTGGTTTTGTTGATGCTACCATGTTGCTCATGTTTTTAATCACTGTTGGAGCCATTTGTCAAATAAAGATTAAAAATAAAAGAGTTGTGGAAATTGTCTTTTCCAGAAGATTGGAACATGAAGCCGACCTTTTCGTGTAAACGGTTTTCCTTTTTCTGTGTACATTCTCACTAAATTTTGACTGCTCAGTGTAAGACTCCATTACTCATTTCATTTCAAAATGATGTTTGATAGAGTTTTTCACTAAGCGGATAAGCAGTCTATTTGTATCGGTATAGAGAGAGAGGTAGGGAGAGATTCTGGACCAACAAGTGGGATATAGAGAATTTCCCTTGGTCCTGAGGAAGCGAAGGACACCTAAAACTTTTCTGCATTCATTTCTATCCGTGGGGAGCCATTAAAGCTCATTTCATGTCTCTCCTCCAAGTTTTTTTTTCTTTGGAGTTTTTATTGTCCTTAGGCCTACTAATAAGAAAGGTACTCATACAAACTTACTGAAGGTCTTGTTTCTTTCTTCTACTTACAAATTTGCTTATTATTGTCTGATTCGAGGAATATGGTATGCAATGCGTAGGCCTACACAGTGATTCAGTTATTTTTGTAACTGATAGAAGGAAAAAACATTGGCTTACTCTCTGATGAAAACAGTGAAAAATGACGGCTCTAGCAGTAAAGCTGGAAGACGAAAAATACTCAATTTTTATCTGTGTTTCAAGACTGTTGGGAAAGAGAGTTTCTTTTTCTATTTCTTAATTTCAGTATCGCTTGAAGTAAGGAAATGGCTCTAACTTAATGTCTACTCTGCAGCAATCCCAATATTGTTTGTTGTTGTTTGTGGTGTTTTTGATCTGTCAGTCCTTTGGCTCAATGCCGTGCTTGACGGAATAAAATGAGTCTTTTTATTTTGACCATATTCTTTTTGAAAAGCTCTGGGGTAAAAGAAAAGTATGACAATTTTGTTTTTGTTCTAGCACATGTATGTATTGTTATTTCTAGAGCCTTTTTTTCCCCCAATGACACATCTAGACCTCGGCATCCGTGTGTTAGTTTGCTCAGAAAGGCTAGAAATAGTACATTGTTGATCTCCCCTCTTTCATAGTGCATTGTGATGTGACGGTAAAGTTGTTTCTTTGTTGCTGTCTGACCTTGTTGTATATTTGTAAATGATTATCTTGCTCATGTTGAGCAGTGTTCTGAGTGATTATATATTTTCTGCCAAATGCTCCCTAGAAGATAAACATTTAAAAAAATGAATTATTAAATAACAAGATGTGCCTATTCTTCATTCACCTTAACATGTATCAACCTCTTATTAAGACTCCTTCTGTTAAAACCATTTGAAGCTTCCTAGTCCACTGAGTATACTGTACCCAATCACCTGAGTTCCTTTTGGTAGTCTGGTAGACATAGCTCTATACCTCATGCTCAGGTACGTACAATGGTCCTGTCAGTAAAAATGTTTAAACCCGATTTAGAGTCTATATCAGTCTGTAAAATAACTAGCCTGGATTTTATTCTCTGCTTTGTTTCGTCTTTGGCTTCATTTTAAAAAATTATGTTTGTTGCATGAAGCAGTTGAGAATGAAAAGTAATTACTAACATTTGCAAAGGGCACTTTTATTGGTGTTTAAAAGCTTGTCATATTCAGGAAAAGAAAAAAGAACCCCCAAAACTTATCTGCTTTATTGTCGAGTATGAAATAATTGATATACAGTTTGTAATTTTGAATGAATGTGGACTCAGGAAAACCTTCATTTTTTTGTAGTAGGTTACTCAGACTCATTGCTAAGTGGTCCTGTTGCAGACTTTTACTCATGAACTCCTGACTTCCTTTGGCGTAATCTCACCAGTTACCCGCAATTCTTGTTTTGTTTCAAATATTTTTGTTTGTTTTGGTTTAGATTCAGTTCAACGATTGGTGATTTGCCTGGACGATGTGCTGCTTTAAGCAGAGTTGATGAATTCTGTGTTATTGATTGATTTGCCCATCTATATATTATAGGTGTGATTAAAGCTACCCAAGGATAGCGTTATATGATGTTCCCAATTTTAGTAACACTTCAGCATGTTGTTCTCACTGATGATGTGGTACACAATAATAATAAAAATGATATGGAGGATTGTCATGCATGATGGAACTGATCACAGTTTGTCTCACAACAAAATTAAACGTGTTATCTTCCTCATCTGCACATCTATTGTACAATTTGTTTGTGTTTTTTTGTTTTTTTGTGTGGGTTTTTCCGCATGGTGTCGTTTCAGAGGACAGTGGAGAATGGGTAGTTGGCGGGTGCTCTGGTGTGTTGTTGCTCCTTCTTTCCTATCAGACATCAATTGTCTTTATCTCTTCTCCTTTTTTGTGTTTGTTAGTGTTTTGTAATATCTCTAGTCTTGTGTAAATATGACCTTATTGTGTTACAAGTACCGTAAATCTTTTACCAAAATGAACAGTGGGGGAGATCCTTGAGGGAAGGCCCTTGGTTTACCCTGGATCCGAATAAATGTTTCTTGTGGGTTCTTCTCCAGAGGGGAATGAGCTTCCTGTATTATTTTGGACGCTATAAGTAAATTTCAACTCCAGATTGTTTAAATAAGCGAATTATCTTCAGTGGGCGACTAAGTCGCAGCGACCCACATGTTAACCCACAGGCAGTGTATACTTGGTCAAGTAAAAAGGCCTACCTAACATGTGTTTTAGTTTTAGTAACGCAACTGCACAAGGTCATAATATGAGCGCCAAGGGGTGGATGTCAACAGAGATGTCCAAACGGGGAGTAGACTTACTCTGCTCACCTGTCTTGCATCAACAGCACAAAGTCTGCTTCGACTATCA